CTCCTGCGCCAAAGCTGCACAACAAGTACTCCTGGGCGATGGTGGTGCGCGTCCACCTGGACCAGGCCGTGACCCATTTGGGGGGCTCCTTCAACGTCATGGCGGTGCACGTCCACCACAGCTTGGCCAACCAAGACTGGGGCGTCACGAAGCTCCATGAGTTCTTCAACTGGTTCGTCGCCTACGTCAGGGAATGGGACGTGAAGGTCTGCATGGGGGACTTCAACATGTGCATGTTCCAGCTTGTGTCCTGGTGCCGCAATTGCGGCCTGACTGTGGACGTCGCCGCGTGGACCCCCTGGAAGACAGCAGGCGGCCAGCCCAGGGCAGACAGCATGGCGATTTTGTTCATAAGCTGTCCTGGGCAGTACAAGCTTCTCCATGGCCTGAGTGTTCTGCACGACCGTGAGGGCGGATTCTTGACGACCCAGCATGATCCGTCTTTCCCTGTCTTCGACTACACGAATGGCCCTGGGAAGATGCTTCAGACTTACGTGCCCAAGGCTGAGCCCGTTGAAAACAAGACGCGCGCCTTCCTGACGCCATCTGGCGAATCCTTGACCGCAGTTGCGGAGTTCGAGCAAAGGATGGCGCGCAGGGAACGCGACGATTAGGTGCGCCATCCCTTCAGAGTGAAGCAGGGCAACCTCGACGACAAGATATGGCATGGCGCCTTCGGCAGGGCGAGGCACGGAGCGCACTTCCCTCTGGTGGCTTTCACGCACATTACGTGCCGCAGGTCACCTGAAAGACTCGCCGCGAGGTTGGAACGCAGGAAGGGCGGCAGGAAGGGCGGCAAGAAGGGCGGCAAGAAGGGCAGCTACGCGGACACCGCAGTTGCGGGGAAGGGCGTCCGACCCCAGATGGGAACCGCTGTTGCGGGGAGAGACGCTGGGGCTGAGCGAGCTGGGAACACGCCACCGCCGCAAGCTGCCAACGGCGACGATGCGACCCCTTCTTGTGCCGCAGTGGCGGCTGGGTCCTGGGACGCCAGCGGCAGCGGCGCATGGGAGGCGCGCAGTCCCGCCACGAGATGGCAGGGCTGGTCCTGGTGGGACTGGAGCTCGAGCGAATGGGGCGCTGATGGCGCGCAGTGGTGGCCTCTGATCATGCCGCAGTTGCGGACAATGCCCCTGAGGGCTCGCCTCCTCAGCGTGAAGTCGAGTGGGGCTCGAGCGGGCGACCTGCCGAGCGCCCTCCGCGGAGCTTCGAGGGGCAGCGTTGGTGATGGCCGCAGTTGCGGGCAAGTGGAGCATGATGTTGATTGCCGCAGTTGCGGACAGTGTACGCTGGAAATATCATCATCATCATCAATCATAATCATCATCATATCATCATATCATACGTTCAAAGCAGTGCCGGGGCACTGCTTTGAACGCGTTCAAAGCAGTGCCGGGGCACTGCTTTCGATCGTCGCCTCGTCGCCGTTATAAGGGCTTTCGGATTACGTTTAAGTTGGGCCGATCCATCTACAGGCAGAATGCTTCAAAACAGTAAAGAGTAGTCAGAGTACGATTTTTCCTTACTTGAATTCTCTTTGATTAATTTTGGATTACCTTTCTCTTCCCAATTCCGCCTGTAGGAGGACACGCCCGACCTAAAACTAGCACCCCTACCTTTGCGACCCCTGCATTCCTGAGAAAGGAACGCTGTGGGGCCCTCTTCTTTCACAAACAACGAACGAATCATTTGGATCAGTGATCCGCTCTGTGTAATATGATTTGGCAACACACCCTATCCGAATTGGATGGTAATCACCTGAGGCCTGGGCCCGAGGCAATCGCATTCTGGGCGGATGGTCCGTAGGCGGATCGGACGCTTCAGGACGCTAGAGGGTCGGAGGAGGAAAACAGGAACAACAGGAAAAACAAGAAACACCGTTACAGATTTCGCTGCTTTTCCTATTTTCCATGTGAAAACACAGGGTGTTGCTTGTTTTTTTCATGTGCTTCCTGTTGTCCCTCTTTCGTTCTGCTGGGATGACAGGCCGCGGGCCGTTGAGAGACCCCAGGGCGTTCAGGGGAGGGAGGAGGAAAACAGGAAAAACATGAGAAACAAACACAACCCTGTGTTTTCACATGGACAAATAAGAAACACTTGAAACAAGAGCGACAGTCACAGGTTCCGCTGCTTTCTCTAAATTTACCATGTGAAAAACACAAGGTTTGTCATGTTGTTTGTTCATGTTCTTCCTGTTTTCCCCTCCCTCCCACTGTTTTGCCTCTTCCTCCCCCTCCTGTTCCTCTGCCTTCTCCTCTTCCTTCTCCTCTTCTTTTCCTCCTCCTCCTCCTCCTCCTCCTCCTCCGCCTCCCCCGCCCCCCGCCAAGCCTTCCTTCGGCTGCCATAGAGCTAATCGCGAGCATATAACTCATGAGAGTGCTGCTCAAAGCGCGTGACCGCTACCAGCAATCCGCATGCCAATTGTTCCTGTTTTCTGCAAGCTGCAAGGTTACGGCAGCGCTACTTACTTGAGCTTGCGCCCCCTGGACTTCGCAGTGGAGCGAGGAGATTGGTATGTCGACGAATCCTTCTCAGTGGCATTCCACAGCTCACAAAACTCGCTAACGCTAGCAAGAATCTCACAAAACTCGCAACGATCCCAGTTGGGTGCCCTCTCGAGTCCCTTGTTGGGTTATTACTGGCCCCTGTCATTGCACCGTGTTCCATCTGCGTTTTCCTGCGCCCCGTTGTTGGGCTTCCCTCCCAAAGCTGTTTGACGGTACCCTTGTTTGGGATCCTCTCAAACATCGCTGCGTTTACCAAGCAACACCCCAAAATGTTTGACGGCATCTTCGTTTGGGATGTCTTCCAACATCGCTGCGTTGAGGGCACCCGTATTTGGGATGCCCCTTGCCAACAACACCCCACACTGTTTGACGGCACCCTTGTTTGGGATGCCCTCAAACATCGTTGCGTTGAGGGCATCCTTTTTTGGGATGCCCCTTATCAGCAACACCCCAAACTGTTTGACGGCACCCTTGTTTGGGATGCCCTCGAACATCGCTGCGTCGAGGGCATCCTTTTTTGGGATGCCCCTTAACAACAACACCCCAAACTGTTTGACGGCATCCTTGTTTGGGATGCCTTCAAACATCGCTGCGTTGAGGGCATCCGTTTTTGGGGTGCCTCTTATCAACACCACCCCTATTGTTTGACGGCACCCTTGTTTGGGATGCCCTCAAACATCGCTGCGTCGAGGGCATCCTTTTTTGGGATGCCCCTTAACAGCAACACCCCAAACTGTTTGACGGCACCCTTGTTTGGGATGCCCTCAAACATCGCCGCGCTGAGGGCATCCCTTTTTTTGGGGCGCCTCTTATCAACGGCGCCCCAAATTGTTTGACGGCACCTTTTGTTTGGGATGCCGTCAATAATCGCTGCGTTGGGGGCATCCCTTTTTGGGATGCCCAGGAACATCGCGGGCCCTCACCCAGAATACATTGGTGACGACTTCGGCCCTCGGCGCCCTCTCCCGCTTCTCCCTCTGCCGTCGCCGTCGCCCCTGTCTGTTTGTGTTGTTGCTTTTTTGAAGTCAGCAGCTGCGCGGCGGCGCGTAGCCCCAGTCACTAGCGTGCTCCTTCGGCGGGCCGTTTTCTGCCACCCCAAAAACTCGCTTTGCGAGTTTCCGCGGCAGGTGGTCGGGGGCCCAGATTTTGAAGCTGGCCCACCACCTTTTCCAGTAGCGCTTCTCAGAGGTGGCAGTGCTGTGTTTTTTTCAAGCTCGTCAGCCTTCTTCTCGGCGGCAGCCAGCTTGTTCGTCAGCCTCCTGTTCTGCTCCCTCAGCTGGTCTCTCTGCCGCGTCACGGCTCTCAGGTCTGCCTCCGCCGTGCCCTTGTCGCGGTAGTGTTTGTTTTACCGCTTCCTGACGCAACAGAAGACGCACCGTCAACATATGCAAGGCGGCGCGTCAGATTCTGCATGCCCCGCAAACGAAAGAGTGCGGCCTGGCGAGAAGAAGTGGGTTCGAAAGGCGGTCGCCCTTCGCGGGAGCACAGAAACGGACGTGCCGCCAGGTTGTTGTTGTTGTTGTTGTTGGTGTTGTTGCGATTCCATGTTGCCTGTCCTCAAGTCGCCGGCTTGCTGTCGGTACTCGAGAGCCTGAGCCCGCAGCTTCGTGGCAGTTTGGCCCCCTGTCTTGAGTAGGACCGCTCGTGTCCGCGGCTGCTTGAGGAACTTCTCCACCCGTTCTTTCGCCCGCCGCTCGTTGTTAGCGTCGAGCTACTCCCTGTACTGCTTGGATCCCCAGGGGGGGTTGCCCATGGCCGAAGACGGTTCTGAAGCGTGGCCGCAGAAAAGCGTGGCAGCAGAAGGAAACTTGAACATATACGCGTATTACAGGCACAATCACAATGTCTTTGATGATTCGGTTAACGATGACGATGATAATGCTTGTGATGCCGACGATGACGACAAATTATAGTTAGCGATGGGTACGAAAACGATCTAATTGCGAAGAGAATGGATGATGCGGATTCTGATGAAGATGCTGACCAATATGATGATGATGAGGATGATGATGATGATGATGATGATGGTGAAGGTAATTATGATGATGTTGATGTTGATGTTGGTGCTGATGTTGTTGTTGATGATGATGATGATGATGCTGATGATGATGATGATGATGATGATGATGATGAGGCGGATGCGCAAATTATGAGACAGGAGGGCCCCACAGCGCTCCCCTTTCGCATTCCTCGGGGTGGATTTCCGTGGGGGGGCCTACGGGAGTCTGTTGTCTGACGCGGGCCCCAGCTCGACTGGGAGCCCTCCCCCTTGGGGTCCGACAGCCCACACCCACATTTGCAACGCCTTCACCTCCTTGCCCTTCCCAATGCTCCTTCTTGTGGGCCTGAGTGTGTGTGTGTGTGTGTGTGTGGCGTTCAATCCTTTCTTTTTCCTCTTCCTTTTCTTCCTTTCTCCAAAATTGGTACGATGGGAACTACATCAAACCTCGTCTTCCAACGAACAAAAAACGTCGCCGCCCCCCCCATCGCGAGGGCCACTTCCGCCGGGGCTGCGCGCTGAGACAGGCGGGGCGCCTGCGGGAGGCGGCGGCGGCGTTCCGCAGGGGCTGGGGCCTGGAGCCGGACAACAAGGAGCCCGCGATGCCGCCAACGATCGGTGGAGCCCCGCGCGCTGTGACAAAAAAAGCACGAGGAGGACATTTTTTATTATTTTCGACCTCCTGGGGCCTTTACCGGGCCTCGCGGGGCCGTCACAAAAACGACAAGCCGGTCGTGGGGAACAGGTCCCGACGTCCGTGGGGTGTTCGCGTCACGAGAAGATCATGACGCCAGGGGTCTGGGGGCTTCGGGGTGGTCAAAAAACGACTCGGGATGAAAAGCCAGACCCAGGGAACAGGTCCCGACCTCCGTGCCCAGACCCCGGACGTCGCAATTTTTTCATGACGCGACCCCCAGAGGCCGGGACCCACTCCCTGGCACCGGCTTCTCATCCTGAGTCGTTTTTTGACAGTCCCGAAGCCCGGAGAGGGCCCCCAGAGGCTGAAGATAGGGAAGAGCCGCCGGTCGCGATTTTTTCGCGCTTCGATCGAGGGGGTGGGTCCAGGGGCGCGGCCCGCCCGGCAACCCCTGGACTGGCCAGCGCCGGGGCCGCGGGGCGGGAAGCTGGCGCAGAGCTCGGCCCGCGCCCTGGTGCGAGGACTCGAGCGCGAGGCGGGGCGGCGCGTGCAGCAGCGCTGCACGCGCCCACGCGCAGATGGGGGTTTCGGGTTAAGGCGGGCGTGTCCCTGCAGGGGAGGAATTTTTAAAAATAGTAGAAAAAATAGTCTGGGGATGACTGTTTGACCATCTTTGCTTTTTTGATTTTTGCATTTTCGGGGTACGTTGTATTTTACGTCCAGAATCTGCCTGCAGGGGACACGCCCGACCTAAGTTTAGGGGGAGGGGGGAAGGCGTCTCAGAAGCATCCCTGCACTTCTCAGAGGGCGCGGGCCTGGTCTGCAGATGTCAGGCCGGGGACTTCTGAGAAGCAGCCTCCTCCTAAGAAGCCTGCACCCCTCCCCCTACCCGTAAATCGGGCCTACCCCTCTACAGGAGGCATGATATTTCAGAAACAGTCAAACAAAACATCGGGGGACGTTTTTATTGGTTCTCCATTTTTAATGAATATAACTATTTTGTAATATGGATTGGGTATGTATCATTTTTTGCCGTAAGTCCCCCTGTAGCCCGACACGCCCGACCTAACTCTACCCTCTCTGCGCGCCGCCAGCGTACGCGGCGTCTGGAGCCACGGGCCCGCGCCGACGCGGCAGAGGGGCCGGCCGCGCTTGGCCCCACGTCTTCCCGCGCCCTCCGGCTCGCTCGCACGCGGCGGCACGTGTCCAGGTTACCAAGACACGTCCCCCTCCTCCTCCTCATCCTTTTTCTCCTCCTCCTCCTCCTCCTCCTTCTCCTCCTCCTCCTCCTCTTCCTCCACCTCCTCCTCCTCCTCCTCCTCTCTCCTCCTCCTCCTCCTCCTCCTCCTCCTCCTCCTCCTCCTCCTCCTCCTCCTCCTCCTCCTCCTCCTCCTCCTCCTCCTCCTAGGTCGCTGCAAGGGGGGGTCACAAATCATACCGACCGCACCTCACGTACAACTGTACAGCAGCACCGTTGCGCCCCCAGACCACAGGCTTCGGGAGCAGGGAAACTGGGGGGCCTCATGGCGGCGTCCGTCACCATCGTACGATGAAAACTTGCTACTACAACCCACTGGAGGCCGGTACAGTGGAACGACTGGAAGATATCAGTGCCGAGCTCCACAGCTGGGACGTCATACTACTCAGTGGTACGTGTCGCTGGGCAGGACCAGAGGCTGTGCAACGTAATTACCTCCCCTCGAGAGAGCCATCCGCGAGATCTACACCCCACCCAACTACCTCCAGGGACGTGTGGCAGGAGCCCGACTAACTACGACCCACTACGACTACGCTTTCTACGTATGCTACTAAGCCCCCTACCCATCAGCGGTACTACTCTCTGCTGGCTGACAGTCTTACCCACTAGTTGGAAGAAAGTACACATGAACGAGGATGCCGCGCTACAGTGGTGCTGAGGGGCGACGTCAACAGCAATATCGGCTGCCATGGGGAACTTGACGGTTCCATCGTTTGCAGCAAATGCTCCACAGCGGGCCCCCGCCAACCTAAGGTTGAAAACCACAACGGGGCCCGCTTCAGAGAAATGTGCGAAACCAGCGATTTCAGCATCGTCACCACCCATTACAACGTCGGGGCTACGTACTACTACGGCCACTCTGGGAACAGCGCGGCGGACAACATTGTTATCCCTACAGGTAGCCTTCCCTTAGTAAAACGGTGCGAAGTACCACACCTGTCAGGCAAACGACTACAGAAGATCAAGGTACGAGGCCACCGCGACGACGTCCCAATTGGCCTCACCCTCTTCGCCTCCGCCACCGCCACCGCCTTCCCACCCCGCACCCGCTTACAACAGAGACTATTCAGGGATGGGCTGATGGACTGCCTGCGCAGCGGTCACAAGCGCGGCCAGCTGACACAACAGCTGAACCAGGAGGCGCGGGCGGTGGGAAGGGACAGGCGGGAGGAGGCCCTTGCAGAGCCGACTCCAGATACTACGTGGGACTTGCTAGGAGGCGCAGCAAGGAAGGCACTACTAACCACATTTGCGAAGACGGATGCGACCGACGAACTGGACGAACTGATTAACAGGGCCAAGCAACAGAGATTACGATTGCTCGAGCAACGACGAGCGCTGCGATCACGTCTGACCGACGAGAGCTCAGCGATTGAGTACGATGAGGTACAGGCCGAACTGAAGGAGTTGAGTGCCGTCCTAAAGACAGTAAGAGAGAGAGAGGTAGAGAAAGAGAGGAGGGCGCATATTGTCCAGAAATCTATGGGAGGCCGACCAGCAGCGCAACTGCGCAGAGATGCGCCGACTACGAATCCAGTGCCAACGAAACGGACGTGGCCCGAAAAAGAGGCACTACCTAACACCCAAAACAAACGGGGCCACGGCGTACTGGTTAGAAGAAGTCAGTCGACCTGCGCTAGACGGGGGACCAACAGCGATTCCGATCGACCGAGCACCCGAGCGAGCCCAGCATCGCGACTACACGGCCGAATCCGCAGACAGACTACCCCTAGACACGGAACTACACGGACAGGTTGCCGACGACAAAAGGGTTATGCTACGTTTTTGCCAACGAGCGTGCAAACGGCGGGCATGGCCAGCCTGGGGCGCCCCGACCGAGCCCGCATGGATTATGCTAGACCCCATGCTACACCCCCACAACCCGACCCAGCTATCCGACCAGCTAGAAGAGCGTAGAATAGTAGCAGCGGGGCGGAGACAGGACGAGGAGGACTTAGCCCGCTACACTACCTCGGGGAAGTTCAAGAGGGGCAGGGAGCTGTTGCAAAAGTGTCGATGGGCCACGGGCAGTGAACTTGGGAGGTGCACCATGCAGCACACCACGTGCGACGAGGATGCGCGGGCACAATGATCCTACGGGGTGGGCAGGGGCACCTACGCAGGACTAGGAGCCACCAAGATCAGCGAGCTGGACTACGAGTACTAGGACTACTTAAACGAGTTTCTCACCCAGTGCCGGAGCTGCCAGGCCACCCCCCTAGATTGGCACCGTCCACAGGCGTTCTCGGCAGAGAAAAAAACACAACCCCAGACCAGGCGTCCTTGGCCAACGACTACTACACGTACACGACGCCTTCGGAATGGCCTGGCTCTCGGGCATCCACCAGCGAGGGCCACCGCCCGACCGCCCACCGTGGGCCCAAGGCGGCCCACCGCGCAGATGCAGAGAAAACAACATATTCTGCGTACAAGCTGCCCAATGGCGAGCGGCACAGGGTGGAGTCAGCACAGTAACAACCAACTACGACGGCACCAACGCATTTGCTGCCGCCATCAGGGCGCTTCTACGGGCAGTCGCCTTCATTAGCGCCCACGAGCGCGACCAGCGCTTTGCGATGGCTGCCATCGACCACTCCACCCTCAGCCTCGAAACCGCAGACGGACAAACCGAGGCTGAGCACCGCGGGCGCCCAAGTGGGCTTTACACTTTGCCCCGGGCAATTCAACGACGCCAACGACATCTACGTGAGCCAGTGGCGGGCTGCCGAAAGAAACGACCCCCACCAATGGTTGCGCGACGCATGCGGCCCAGTTGGGGGGCACAATTCAAGGCATTTTCCTCGGCGCGTTCACGGGCGACATCACCCACGTACAGACCGTCCCACCACAGGCGAGTGCGACCCAGGTCGAGGATCAGCTCAACGACGCCACTGACCGCTTGTCAGCAGCGCTGCAGAAGGGGGGCGGGGCCTCAACCACAGCAAGACCAACCACATACTTTACATCATGGGTCAAGAGGGCCATGGCATTACTCGCGAGCCCCGACGGAGCGCCACGCTCAAAGGCCTAGCGCTGCGAGGGATGAGGATGCTCGGCCCTTGCCTCCCAGCTGGCCAGGGCATCTCGGGCGAAATCGCTAGGCGCATCGCTGCTGCGCGCATCGCCTGGCGACATTTCGGCGCCTTCTGGAACAGCGAGACGCCCGGGCAAATCAAACGGCTGTTGTTCATGGCCTTCGTCATAGGTGCAGCATTCAGCGGCCTTGCAGTCTTCGTCGTCACTGCGACCCATACTAACGCCATTGACAGCGTACTGGGCAAGTATCTACGCGCGCTGGCATGCCAGGCGATGTCGCGGGCACGGGAGGACGGAGCTACACGACGCAACAACCTCCGACATGTATTTCGTCATTGGCGCATGGAACGTACGAGTGCGTCGTTTATTGTACGACGATTGAGATGGTACCAGAGTTTGGCCCAGCATTCCAAAGAGCATGGCGCAATGCTGACCGCAGCATTCGGATCTTCTCGGCTCGACGTCCCACGAGGTATTCGGAGACTAACAGCCATGAGCTGGGTCGTCCAGACACTACCCCCCGGACAACGCAGTTTGCGACAGAATTGCGGACGCCAGCACAGGTGGACGGGAATGGGATGGCACGAGAGCAGGGATTCGGACATTGCCATTTTTGAGGAGGGAAGCACGGAGCAAAAACTCCCGGTTACAAACTGACCCCA